GGATAGAATTCGGGTGGAGCTGACCGACGGTGACGCCGAAGTGGTTCATAACCTCGACGATAAGAGGGTGGAAAGGTAGGCGCAGCCCGACGACGAGCTGCTCCCGGAATATCACGATCTCGTCAGGACTGTGTTCCCAAGGGAAGTCGCCTGAGGGTATAAAGTAAGTATACTCCCCGGGCAGGTTGAACTGGGTGATAAGGGAGTAAAGCCCCTCAGGCGTCATGGTTGAGGGCCCGAACTTGTCTAACGTCCGACCTCGACGGGAGGAGGACGCCAAACTACCCGAGGCGACTCGGCCTACGGGTTCGAACTCTTCTTCGAGCTCTACCTCGGGCTCACTAAGGCTATCGGGGGATGCAGCTCGGTTCGTGGAACCTGCATCTGACCCCCTCAAGAAGCTGTCTAAGTTGTCCGAGCTAGACATCAGGAGGAAAGGAAAACCAGGAAGAAAGTACTGACTCACCCGGAAAAAGGTAACGGACTACGGAAGGTTGACGCGAGCTCAAGAAGCGAACGCAGGAGAACGACGATGGAAAGCAACTGGGGGTCCCCCACTATTTATACCCACAATGACCGAAAACCGACGACTCTGATCGAGGCAAATCCAACGGCCCACGATCAAGCTGACCGCATGCCTCCTAAGACTGAGACGTGACTGGCTGCACGTCTTTGGAAACTGAAGCAGTGCCGGCACACGTCTCCCAACATTGAAGGCAACAGTGGCGCGCTTTTCAAATTTGAAATAACGTCCGTCGTCACATCTCCCAGCATTGAAAGCAATAGTGGTGCGTTTTTTTTTGAATTTGAAATAACGCCCGTCGTCACATCTCTCAGCATTTAAAGACGGATTGGCACGTTTTTCTAATTTTTTGGCGCTCGAGGAATCCGGAAATCTCCTGACGCACGCACACTTCGCGCCATCAGTCAATCGGTTTGAAGTACGGGTCAAATCCACCCGTCACCTCGCGAACTCCCTGCGCCAGGGCAAGACCCTTAGCGCGAGGAGTGGGGGGCAATTGATGGAGGAAGATTTGGCCCGACCTCTTGGCCACCCAACACGTGGAAGCAACCGCGGGTGACCTGGTAGGAGCAACAGCTCGGCACGACAGTGCGCTCAAGGCGCGAGCTCTGAGAGGATTAACCAGCGGTCCGAGCTCCCCAAAAGGAGCCCGAACTCTCCCTTTGACCCCGAGCCTTACAAGGAGCGCAAAGGGCAACAACCCGAACTGGCCCACCCTAGGGCAGTTCGGGCCACACTTTTATCCGAACTCAAGACTTCACCTCGCACACCACTCCAGCACTTCGTCTCCAGGCCGCCGAATTGAACAACCGTACCTGACACCAAAGGAGTCCGTATCCTGAGGCGGCACACTTGACTGACTTGGGATCTTACGCTTGACAGCCGCACTTCAACGACCACCTGCCACCGCCACCTCTAGTTATAGAGACGGCTCCGACAAAGAGAGCAGTGGTAGTTGTCTGCCCCAGCAGAGGTGATGACACCCGACCTGGCAGAAGTGCAGAGGTAATGATACCCGACCTGACAGGAGCTTGGGAGTGAGTGCACGAAGTGGTTATAAAAGGCCCTCTTCCCCCAAGAATAAAGGTACGTGATAACTTTGCGCCATCTGGTTTTTTATCTTGCCTTTGAGAAATACTAACTTGAGCTTCAGAGCACTCTCATCGGGTTCCTCCCCGGAGACTACCCGCTTTCTTCCCCGTTTCAGGCACATTTTGCTCCAGTCAGAGGCAAAATCGTTGACAGTTAGGACCGACCGGATTGCGCTCCATCAACTGTGTTTGATAAATGTTTAAAAAAATAATTTTGATGAATTTTATGATTCTAATTTTAAGTCTGAATAAATTTCTTTTAACTTTTTTTTTGGGTGCAAAATTAATTCTAGGAATCATATCCTTTTTTTAAAAAGAAAATCAATTTTGCTCAGAAATCAGAGTACAATACTATTTGGAACAGAATTTTAACCAAACATGACCTTACCATGGGGGTTGTCTTGTGTGGGGTTGGGGGAAGAGGACTGTGAAGTGTGAACGCGGGAAGTTGTTATTTCTCTTTCCTCGACCCTCGTGGCTCTCATCCCTCCTAAAATTAACTTGGAACTTGGAACGAACAAATTCAAAATGTTAGTAAAAAGGAAAAATGTACCGGGACAACGAAGAATGCCGAAGGCTTTAAATAGTTGAAGATCGCAATCAACAGAAATCCAAAATCCCGGCACCAGCCCCCCAACAGAACCCACCTAAATCTGAGACTGAGAGATCCACTCAAAGTCACTACTCACTAGGGTTTTCTTCTCTACATCCGATAACTCAGGGGAAGATGGATAACCGCCCAGCCGACCAACCCGACACGAAGAAATCGGAGGGGGAGCACTCATCCGATTATGCGCCGTACCCGAAACTCGATCCCAAAGATGTCTCTCCTCCTCCTCCTCCTCCTCCTCCTCCTCCTCCTCAGGAGAATTGGGGCACCTTCGTGATGGGATCTGAATCTCAAACGCAATCCGATCCTTCGACGAATAATAATAAAGCAGCGTCTGTGGCGCCACAGATATCGGTTAGTTGGAATTCCGAATTGACCAGCGACGCCCCTTCTCCAATTCCCGAAAATCCCGCCACTACTATGCCTCCTGAATCCAATCCTTACGTTTCTCCGCCTACAGCGTCGTCGTTATCGTCCGTCAAGAGTGAGTACTCCTTTAGTCCTTTGTTTACGACTTACTTAAATTAGGGTTTTCTGAATCTAATATACTAGTATTGTTTTTAGGACTATTACTTATCTACTCGCCACTTACTTTCTTCTGACTTTATTTTAAGTAGTAGTTTCCTATTACTTCAGTGCTTTTCTAGCTTTGTTACTTAGATGACAAAATGGTGGTTGTTCTGATGATTTGCATTTTTTTTTTATCTGAGCATATACTATCATGTTTCTGATCAGAGACAATGGATACGGTTCGGGATGTGCTTGGGCGATGGGGAAAGAAGGTGGGGGAAACATCAAAGGCAGCCGGGAATCTAGCTGGAAATGTTTGGCAACACTGTAAGTTCTCTATTTTCAATTATACACACACACACACATAATTTGGAATCTAATGGAATTTTTTATCCTTGCACACAAAGGTTTGCATGTTTCTTTTATGAATTTGAACTGTGCATCTAGAATGAACTGAATTAGCTATCACAACGTGCTTCTACTTATCCAATAAATAGAATCCAAATAATTTGACAGCGACGCAATTGATACCTCCATATTTACAAAAGCTTTTGTAGTGAGAAATTTTACTTCTTTTTGGAATTTGAAGCAAATTGATTCTTTGTTTGTAGTTTGTACGCATTGGAATTGAAAGACTAATATTTTGACCATTCAATTATATCTTGGACTCCTTGAAGATATCTTCCTATTGCTTGCTTGAAGATACCTTTATGCTGAGTTGCTGCCTCGTATTGGAAAACCTAAAACTGCTATTCAATAGAGGAAATGCACAGAAATAATAGAAACCAATGTTTAGTTCTGCAAGCTTGGGTTTCAAGCAATAATGTTGAAACCTGTGCTTCCACAATTTTTTTTTGTAAAAGGTAAGGTATTTTATTAAATCAAATAACAGTACAAAGGAGCCTAGGCCAGTAAAGGCTGCCTAGAGCTACCTCAGATTACAAATGCATCCAAGTCTGAGAACTAAACAACAATCTCAAATTCTGATTTTTAAATTCCTCCGTTGCCGACACCCAAGACTGTAATTTACCCACAGCTTGTTGCACCATTTCCTCTGGAGATTTAGCTTTGCCCTGAAAAATTCTGTTATTTCTTTCAATCCAGATAGTCCAAAGCACTGCAGCTGGAATAGTTTTCCAAACCAAGGTTCCTTTCTTGCTGAGACCCTCAATTTTCCAACAAAACAGCAGATCCTTCACAGAATTTGGCATTACCCAACCGACTTCCAAGACCTGAAGGAAATGCCTCCAAATATGACTCGAGACTGGGCAATGTAAAGAAAGATGTTCAATAGTTTCTGCTTCCCCACCACACTAGCCACATGACATGTCCAAAATCTGAATGTCACGTGTCACTAGATTAACTTTGGTTAGACACTTATTTAAAGCCATTGTCCAGAGCAGAAACATTCCTTTAGAAGGACTAATTGAGTTCCAAATCTGCCTAGCCGGAAAGTTCCCCTGACCTGAACTTATCAACTTACTGAACATAGACTTTACAGTGAACCTGCCATCAGCCTCCCATTTCCATCTCCAAGCATCCTCCTTGTTCGAGTCAATCCTCTGGTTATGAAGCAGGCCCAACAGATTTGAATACTCTTCAACTTCCTAATCAAAGAGGCACCTCCTACAAAATAGATTCCAACTGAAAGAGTTACCAGAGGCATTGAAATTCTCAGCCACTGAGGAATCCTGATTTACAAAAATTTGATACAAGAGAGGAAAGGCATCTTTCAGACACACTTTAGAACACAAAGAATCTTTCCAAAATTTAATTCTTTCTCCATTTCCCAATCATAGTTGTCAAGGCGATGCCTAGGTGGGCGCCTAGGCGACAAGGCGACCTTTGAGGCTCGCCTCGCCTAATCGCCTAACAGTTTTCTACTTCCTACTATAAAATATTATTTTATTCATTCTTTTTTGAGATTATAATTATAAAATAGACATTATTAAACTAAAATAATCATTTTGTGTGTTTACATACTAATTTCTTTTTATTATTTTCTTATTTAGTAGGGTTTAATCAACACAAACATTGCTAAATGCTGTATTGAACCCTCAAAGACTTTAAAACTTGAACCAATTAGTAAGGAAGAACTAAAAATTTATCTAATCAGCACATTTTCCTCTTCCATATATTCTTCTTCTACTACTATTACTACCAATACTTTTTATTTTCTTCTTTTCCTATAATAAAAATAAGGGTTCAGCCCCTATATTTTTTTTTAATTCTATTTTCCTTCTTCCTTTTCTTCTCATGAATATGTTGATTTTCTATACTTTAATATGAAATTTATACTTTTCTTNAATATGTTGATTTTCTATACTTTAATATGAAATTTATACTTTTCTTATGAAAATCATGAATAATTATTAAAGAAATATGGTTATGGTACCTAGGGAACTACCCTAGGATCTATGTTTCTAACATAAAAAATCCATCGCCTAGGCGATGCCTAGGCGCCCTTCAGTTGCTTAGCCTCGCCTTGGCGCCTTGAAAACTATGTTCCCAATTTAAGTGGCTTTAATGGCTGGATGTCGGGGCCCAGGAGTTTGATCTAGAAAAAATGATATTTAATAATGCTCCTGAGTAAAATTAATGCCAAATAAAACATACATAAGCTGCATGTTTATTGCTCTTAAACTCTCATTTCCCCACTCTTATTCTTTCTCCTCCTTTTATACCCAACTTTTCAAAATTACTTGATAAACGTCTCTCTCAATTCCTAAAACCTCTCCTCAGTCCTAAAATATTGCTAATAACTAAGTTTTTTTGGTTACTCTTAACTAGTCCCCACTTCCCTACTTCTAAAACACATTATATATGGCTGACCCACTTTTGCCTCTAGGTCATGGGTCATCGGTTCGACTGTCTAGGTTGAACGGGTCAGACTATTCTACATCACTACTCTATATATTTAAATAAATATATATTTGTATACATATGTAAATGTCTATGTATGTATATATGTGTGTGCAAATACATATTTTTATCAATAAATAGTGTATAATTATGTTTTACATATAATATATGTATTATTTTATATTAAAAAATATTAAAAATTGTGACTCGAGGCCAAAAGGCCCCAAACAGGGGTTTTCACAAAAATAGGGAGGCAAGGTGCCCATAACACTTTGGGACACATAGATTTTGAAAGGTTCCCAAAATAAAAAAAAGAAAAGAAAAAATATCACGTTAATTGGACATCAGAGTGCAAAGTTATGGCCTCTAAAAGTTTGCACATACATTAAGTGTGCAACCCTTGATCCGGTGACTGGGTTGAACGTGTCAATGGTTGAACCATTTGGGTTGGATGGTTTTTTATCAAAGGGTGGGTTTCAACAGAACAAAATCCGGAATCAAGGCCGGGTGACAGTTTGAACGGTTCAACCGGTTGAGTCAGCGATGGATTGAAAACATTGGTACTAGTTTGGGTTGGTTGGTCGGTTCAAAATATTTAAACTTAAAAATTTAAATTTAAATTTAAAAATATTACAATGATATTATTTAAAAATAAATTAAAAAAATTAAATTTACAATATAAAATATTTTAGACTAAGAAATATGGGAATTTCCCCACTTTTCCATATTAAAAAAATTATATATAGTCGGGTGGTTCGAATTTGGTTGGTTTACAAATGGCCAGACCAAAACTAATCCGATTGGAAAGTTGCTGAACTGAAGCTGGCTGGAAATACTTGAAAACCAACCAACTTGGGTCAAGTTGGGTCAGGTTGGTCGGTTTGGTTGGTTTCATCGGTTTGATGAACAACCCTAGCTAAAATTAATTATTGTTATTTTTGTATTGTAAAAAAATATTAAAAAGAGTTTATAAAACAATTGTCTACTCTTATGTGTTTCTATTGTTTAGCTTTTGCTTAACAAAATCCATGCATCGCATGGGTCCCCACTAGTGTAATATATAAATGTATTGTTGGCCCAAGCCAGGCTTGGATATTTCTGGGCCAGGCTGGGCTAGGCTAGAAATGATCACCATTAGTGGTATTGGTTCCCTCAAAACTACTTTCGCAGGGAAAAAGGTTTTGGATAGAGGATGAAGAGGACAATGCTTTGAAGAATGAAGCATGTTAATGTGGATGCTAGCATTCTGGATTTGGAAAGTGCTTGCACAATCCCCTGGAAATACTGTTTCATCCCATGTTCTTTTCAACTGTTTCAATTGTTCTCTGGAATATTTTTGATTTCTTATTTCCTGTTTGTTTCAGATTAACATTTTCTTTTTCATTCATGTCAATTTTGTTACTTAATATGGTTGTCTTACAAGAAATTTCCCTTTTTAAACCATTAATGACTATACTGATGAGCTTCCATTGAATCAGTGAAAACAGGACCTAGTGTTGCTGATGCTGCAATGGGAAGGATTGCTCAAGGAACCAAAGTTTTAACTGAAGGTGGTTATGAGAAGATTTTCCAGCAGACATTTGATACAGTCCCTGAGGAACAACTTAAAAAGACATATGCATGCTACTTATCCACTTCTGCTGGTCCAGTTATGGGAACTTTGTACCTTTCAACAGCAAAGCTAGCATTTTGTAGTGATAGTCCTCTTTCATACAAAGTTGGAGACCAAACTGAGTGGAGCTATTATAAGGTATTTTGCTCTGTGGACACCTTTTTAGTTCTTGGGATAAAAGTAGCTTGTGGAACAGAGGGTTCTCTTCCACTGCTAGTATCATTATTGAAAATAATTATGCAATTTTGCCCTGCTGTCTGTTTTTGAGCAGTATGGTGCATTTTAATGAAATATTTTGTCACCTATAAAACTTGCAATTTTGTCATGATCAACAATTTGCTAGATGCACGTGGGCTCATTTAGTTTGCATGAGGCACTTTAAAATATCTTCTTTTATATTACTTATGGAGTTTTTTGTCGATAATGGATAATTAGATTCATTAAACTATACATTGTACAACCATAGAGGATAGGTGGCATGAAATTCACTGGAAAAGCTAAAATATGTACAAATTGCATGAAAATTTCTGCCAGTATAGCTTCTCAATCCCAAAAAAATTATCTTCACTTGGAATCTTTGAATTTCTTCACTATAGGTCAACTATCAAAAGAGAGCAGATATGCATTCAAAACCCTTGTCACAAGGCCAGTACTCAGTCTAAAACATTTTCATATACCTTTTCTTTCTTATACCCCTTAAAACAACAAAATGTGAATCATTTAGCACAGGAACTGATTTCTAGGACTTAAAGGACAGATTCATGCTATCAACAGTACATATGGCTTTGTTGGACAAACTTAAAGAGAGAATTAATGGATTATTGAACATCCAAATGCAGATTGAAGTGCAAAAGACATACCTTCCAATCTTCCAACCTCTTTGATCTTGCAGCATCAATAACCATGATTTTAGGACCTATCTTGAATTTCTTAGTCAGTTTCTTTCTTTCTTTCTTCTTTTTTTTTTGAAATCTGCTAGATGTGCAAGGTGAAAGTTCAGTTCTTGAATAGATATGAGGATCCCTCTTACCATCCCAATTCATTGAAGGTCTCACATCGACTGGCTCAACCAGGCCCATGCAACATTTTTTAAACATATATTATATATTGTATAATATACAATATTGCAAGTGCTTAAAGTTTTATTATTTGATGTTATAGGTGCTAAGCCTAGTTTGGGCCAAGCTCATGATTACCCGTACTTTTGGGTTAAAATTGATTTGTCCTGGGAACTAATAGGGACATATTGCAAACATTGGCAAATACAAGGTTCATGTATGGTTGCAAAGGGTGAGATATTTGGAATATCATAAGTTTTGTTATCATGTAGTTGATGGGGGAAAGGAGAGAGAAGTTCCCAAGCCTTGAACAACCAAAGTGACTCCTTTGAAGTGGTGCACAAAAAGGGCATTGAAATGGTTTGTTCATGGATCTCCATCCTTAAAGTAGTTGATGCAGCAAAATGTAAAAACCAGTAGAAAACAACAACAAAAAGTGTTAAAAAAAATCTTGAGGCGAACAACATATAGTGTTTTAAAAGCGCAAGGCATAGCGGTCAATTTGCGCCTAAGGTGCAAGGCGAGGCGCGCGCCTTTTTAAGCAAGGCGCAAAAATTAAAAAAATGTCAAAAATATAAAAAAACCAATAAATTAAAAAAAATGCAAAAAATTATTAAACATAATATTAATAAAAAGGGTAAAATACAAAAACCTCCCCTGAAGGTTTTGACAATCATAAAAACCTCCCTTCTATTTTCAAAAAAATTGACAAAAACCTCCTTTCCATCAATGACCAAGACGGAAAATGTTAAACCGATGATAATTTTTTCAAAATACCTATTTTACCCATTTACGAGTTATTGTACATCTATTTTGACTAAAATACCCTTTGCGCGGAAGAATGACGCCATGAAGAGTAGCAACTGAAGAGGAAAGAACGAAGAAGAGGGGCAACTGGAGAGGTTTTAACGATTCCTTTCGATGTAGGAAGAGCTTTTAACTATTCCTTGACTTGACCCAAACCATCCGAACACTTCACTGCAACTTTTGTGCCATTTCCCATAGTCCCTTCAAAAACCGATGGAAACAATGATGGAAACCATCCACCGGCAACTCTGTCGTGGGCGTAAACATGACGGAGACAGGAAATCTTGTGCTCTTCGGTGGAAACAATGGAGCCGTTTGGCAGTCTTTTGATCACCCAACAGACTGTTTGGTCCCTGGGCAGATGTTGGTAGAAGGGAGAGGTTCACAGCCAGCATCTCATCTTCGAACTGGACTACAGGTGTCTTAACACTTTTCGTTAATTTTCTCTTGCTGAATCCGATCCTCCTCAGCAGATTTACTTCAAGAAGAAGATAACTGGCACCAAACTGAATGCAGGACCAAGCTATGTTAGATTCCTGAATGGAAATCTTTCTCCCTACATATTGTCCTCCGAGCCACGCCAGCCTGATGATACAATTCCTGTAAAACCAACAACCTCGATGCAGTACATTAAATTCGGGTCAGATGGGCATCTGAGAGTTTACGAGTGGAACTCGACCTCAAAGTGGATGGAAGTGGGCAATCTTTTGACAAAAGATTTATCTGATGGAGAGTGTAGCTACCCAACTGTTTGTGGGAATTATGGTAGTTGCTCAACTGGGCAATGCAGTTGTCTTGGAGGAACTGGTAACAACAATAGCTGGCTTTGAACACCGTTCGAACATTATGAGAGGATGACACGCGTTCATAAGCGTGTGTGCATTCCTTATTCGTGTGGGGATAGTAAACAGGCGTTTAACACGAACACCGTTAGCCATTCCTCATTCAAAGTATTTTTGTGAAAAATCTTTTGTTCTCTTCTTTCCCGCGTCTCTCCATTCTCCACCCAGACCTTTCGTTTTGCTATCCTCTCCAATCGGCGAAGGAAGCAAAAGGCATCACTGGTGAAGACGAGCTTCTTCCGGCGAGTCAGAGTCAGAGACTTTGCCTCTGACTGCCTTCCTCAATAAATAGCGGCCGTCGAGCACTCAAGTCGTCGACTGTCATCTTTATTTCTCAGTCCGTCTGTCTCGCTTTTGTCGGTGCTCCTCGTCCTGCTCCAAGTGGTCTGTCTGTCCATTTATCATCTGCTCAGCAAAATGACTAAATGAGAATCGGTCGTGTTTCCTTTCTAAGCCGGAACTGGTGGTAGGTGGGTGTTGTAGCAGTAGTTCATCATTATCTTCGATTTAAGGGGGTTAATGGGGTGTTCTGGAATCATCTGTTTTACCTTCACTTTAACTTTTGGAAGCAATTGATTGATTCGGCCAATAAGTATTTATATGGTCGGATTAAGGTTTTTTCAGAATGGAAAGTAACAATTGAATTCTACCACTGTAAAGCCAAATTCAACAAATCATAATTAAAAGGAAAAGCAATTCTGATCTGAACTGATCGTTTTCATTTTTAGGGCTATGGATGATTCAGGGATTCAGGTGCTGACAGCAACCAGTTCCAGTGAGGGTAGGCAGCTTTCACTTGGTGGGTGCCACCGGATCGAGCGGTCATTGGCCTCTTTGATGGGTTTCAGATATCTTACCAGAAAAACTTGGCAGTTGCATTCCAAGAACAAATAGGCTTAAAAAGAGAAAAACGATTTCATTGGACCTCATTTAGTTGGTCAATGGCCATAAACTAAGCTTTACAGTTTATGCTATAGGAAGTGGAGAGAGCAGGGTAATTCCCTCATTTAGATTTTGGAATTTCAATTCCATGATCAGATTTACAGTGACCCCATTATTGGAGTTCAGGTTTTCTTCCTCTGTTGTAATATGGAGTTCTTTACTTTCTATTCTTGCTGTTTTGGTTAAAAGTTAAAACGATTCTTCTCATCTTCTGACTTCTGGACTGTAGTAAGTACATTGTTGTGTAGGCCTGGCTGCACCCCTCGAACAGTCGTTCTCCCAAAGTATCAATTATATAACAGGCATTGGATTCAATCTTCAAAATGAAGAAACGATCATTCCAGCTGACCATATAAACCTGATGCTCACCATCGTTGATGCTACCACTTATCATGTCCCATATACCATCGAAGGATATATGTCCCTTCAAGGACTCAAACTTCTCAGGACTGAAGAACCCTATGAAAGATCTGTCTGGCATGACTGAAGGAGGCCTAAGGTCTGCTTCTAGCACAGTCATTTTCACAGAGATTCCGCCACTCAGAGGAACCTTCTGTTATCAGAGTGTCGAATTCATCCTTTGTTGGAAGGGCACCTCTGTTTGACAGAAGCCAATCTGCAATGACTGCAACAAGGGCAGCGCAGGCACTCTCTCCGGAAGCCTTCTCACTTCGTTGGTCGATTGTAGCAAAGAAGACACTGGCTTTGAGCTTTGCCAGACTGTCTCGGCTGATCTGATCAGTTCCCTCTCTTCCCATCCATCAATAGATAAGTCATGGTTGTTATAGTTGGACCTATTTCTAGGATTGTTGCCGGTTGCCGGAAGAAGCTTTCCTTCGCCGATGATGCCTTTTGCCTCCTTCGCTGGTTGGAGAGGATAGCAGAACGAAAGGTTTGGGTGGAGAATGGAGAGACGCGAGAAAGAAGAGAACAGAAGGTTTCTCACAAAAATACTTTGAATGAGGGATGGCTAATGACGTTCATGTTAAACGCCTGTTTACCATCCCCACACAAATGAGGAATGCACACACGCTTATGGACGTGTGTCATCCTCTCATAATGTTCGAACGGTGTTCGAACCATTAACGCTTTGACTGAAGACGAACCCATGATAGCTATTTTAGGCAATTAAGTGATCAGCAGCCAAATCTCGGCTGCTCCGGAATTACTCCATTGTCTTGTGAAGCTTCTGAAAATCACAGTTTTCAAGAGTTAAAGGATGTAGCTTCATCTTTTTCGTCAGTGATGCAAACACAACTGAAACGAGTTTGGAGAATTGCAGGCAGACATGCTTGAATAACTGTTCTTGCAAGGCTGCTTCGTTTCTGTATCATACCAATGCTTCCGCAGGTAGTTGCTTTTTACCAACCAAACTTTTTTCATTGATAAACAATGATAAGAACAAATATAAGTATAATAGGTCTGCATTCATTAAGGTGCAGATACCAGATGTTTCTCCTACCCCATCCCTTCTTGAAAAGAAAACAAG